TTTGCTGACAGCTCTACATATTTTCTTCCATATAAAAAAAATTCACTAATACATACCTTGTATGGAGAAAAATGCCTAGAGCCGGCACCAAAAAAATTATTAAAAATCAACGCGATTTCTTAGCCACTTCAAATTTGTACAATGTTATACTCAATTTGAATGAGCTATAAAACTGCATACCCGAAATTTTATTAAAAATCTGAGTAAAAAGTTTTAAATTTTAAAGAAAATTCATTAAATTTTTCTTAATATTGTATCTATATACATAGTTCGAAACTTTGATTTATATGGTTTTGTTTGTAGCAAGAATCATACATATATTTGTACAAAAACAACAACAAAAAAATATGGCTTGCAAAACATTGTGAATATTTAAATTGGAATTAGAATTGGATTTTTGCGGTTCGGCTAAGAAAAGCTGTTCATCAGTCCTTCGTAGTGCCGACGATGTATTCATAGAGTCTACTTAGAACTCAATCAAGTTGTCCGGAAAATTCTCCCAAACAGCCTACCCTCTTTTTTCTCAAACCTTTCGAGAGGGTTCTCGGCGCGGAGTGTTGTGTCTGAGGCACAACATGCATATCTCAAAGGACTATTTACTAAGACGTTCGTTAGAGGAGTTGATATACACTCTGGCGGTCGTCCTTGACATAGAACGAGCCTCTAACAATGTTCAGGTAGTAGCGCAAATTCCATATCAACGTGTGAACATTCAGCATTCATTTATTTTCCAACCCAGCTTAGGATCCATTAAAACTCCCAGATACTACGCTCGGTTATATGTACCCTTAGATTTAGTAATTTAAAGCTAGAGACCTTATTTCTGGCCGTATAGAGCATTCACTCTGCCTTTTCTTGGTTCACTCTAAGACCATATTGCTCAGCCCATAGGCATGGCTTCACAAGAGCTCCTTTCGTGATATGAGGCTGGGATAGGAGGGCACCCAGAGATACAGTTGTTCATTGTGAGTGTCGAGAGGTGACACATTTCCCTAACCCCAGGTTCCTATTCAGAGAGAAATGAAGGTATTTCCATGACATTATTAAGACACGAATTTTTCTTATACAGAAAATGAAAAATTGTTCCATAAATGGGCAGTTCACTCTAATGATAAGCAATCTGGAAGTTTACATAATCCAGATTTCTTCTGGCTTAGAATTAACTATCATGGTTCTCACTTCAACAAATTTTTCATCCCAATACGGAGACGTTAAGTTCTCAAAACCTTTGGTTTCGTTTTTTCTCTAACAGAGCGTTCCCCAGATTTTTGTACTCTCGATACTTTCGTTCTCATTTTGTTGTCATTGGAAACATTGCCGAAAGTTTTGTTCTCATTCTATTCTTCTTAGGAATGTTCCCGACAGTTTTGTTCGCATTTTGTTCTTTACGGAAAGGTTGCCGAACCAGTTGTCCTCTTTCAAACAGCTGTCCCGTTCAGTTCTTTAATGGGAATGTAATGTCAAGAACATTTTGTTCTCATGCCGAACTAAATCAAAACTGAAACGTGTTCTGGGTTCCTATTCATATTCGAAATTAGCCGAAAATTTTGCTTTAGAAATTATGATCAAATGCCATAGGTCGGGATTTTTTTTTTATTTCTGCAAATTTCATTGCTACCTGGAATGTGTAGAAATGTGTAGAAAAATTACAACGAATTTTAACACGGTACATATGGTAAATTTTTAGTACTTTTCACTCAAATCTTTCAATAAATTTTGTACCAACTTCCCGATGAGCTAGAGACTTGAAACTTTAAACTTAGCTCGGGAATATTCTAAAAACCTGGGTTTATGATCCGATAGGGTTCGCAGGAGTCGAAATATTTCAAAACCTGTATTTACAGTCCAATTTGTTTCATATTTAGAGCATGTTTACTATATTAATTAAATGAGAAGAAAAGACTTCACAAAAAATTTAGCCGTTAGGTGGTGCGTTGGTCGGTTTTTTTAACCGCCCAAAAAAGCTTGTCTTTAAAAAATTGCTTTTAAATTATTTGTTGTTAATATCATTCTAATTTGTTGTTTCTCAACCTACTATCTACTATGCAGTGCGATCAGGAGAAGCAGGGCATTGTGACATCACCAGAGAAAATGGATGAGTATGTGCGCGAGAATGGTTTCGCCGGTTGGTATGAGACATCAGCCAAGGAAAATATCAACATAGATGAAGCAGCAAGGGCTTTGGTGAATAAGGTAAACAGCGTTTATAGGACGGCTACCAGTTTATGAAGAAAACATGTTAAAAACTATTTTTGTTTTTATACTTTTCGCAGATTTTACTCAACGACAAGCTGATCAGCGCCGCCGATCTGGCAGACAGCGAGAAATTTAATTTGAACAGTTCCATGGAACAGACGACATCAGAAAGCAAAAGCAAATGTTCGTGCTGACCAGTTTTTACTGCGAAAATTCATTGAAAGCGTAGTTTCGACAATAAATTGCTCCATAAAGCTGGGATTTTTGAAAATTTAAAGGAATCGAGCGTTTTTTTTTTTTTTTTGATACGGCAAACTGGAAATTCTCGCTCGACACTATGCATTTTCCAAGCGTTTCATGGATCCTGCGCCAACAAAACAGGCACGCATTTTCCAAGGTCATTGCTGTTAGCCGAGGACGCATCGAAATTTTTAAAATATGTTACTAATTAAAAACAAAAAAAAAAAAGTTTAGATATTAATATTAATTCGTTGCATAATCATCACTAAGCTAGAGATGTAATTTAAATGAACACACTACATATTTTAAAATTCAATACACTTACATACATACATACATACCAACATACATAAATTTTACCTTTACATA